ATTAACCCAGTGAATCATGAGGAAGCAGGGAACAGGGAATGGGTGTGTGGAGAAGAGAGGGCTGGGAGGGACATCCTGTTTTCACAAGAGCAGGTGGGATGCTCAGGGTCTTCCCCAGAGGAAAGAGACAGTTGTCCTCAAAGAAAATGATGCCAATTTGGCTTGCCACGTAACAATTCAGTGTTCTGTTGCCTTTACTCCCTACTTAAGTCTGGCCTCATAGTGGCTTATCCCTCAAGAGGCCATTCAGACAGCAGCTATTCAAAGGTTCAAAAATAAAGAGCATCATTCAGCCTTGGACCTGAGCTACAAATCGTGCTTTAAAAAGCACACTTTTCATCAGCTGAACTTTTCACTCAAAGATCTACAGTAGGTTCAGTAGATTTTAGTTGTCTGGGGCACTGTTAGTTCTTCAAGTCACTTCAGAGCAAGAGGGCCTTAAGCTGGGCAGTTTTAACTTTCAACTCATTCCCCACTTGTGCAATTGGGAAGACTATAAAGAGAATAATGAAATAGACTTTTGGGAGCCACAGTTCTAGCACTCCTTTCCTGTGGTTTGTGAGTTCAAATGAGGCAAAATGTTTCTAACTCTGGATGCTTTTTTTGAATAAGAGAGTAGAAGCCACATGGGTACTAAGTGTGTTTTCAGGTCTCATGGCGTGCTGCTAGGGGGTTATGTGCAATGCCGTCTTGATGGCATGAGCTTGGTAGGTCATGTTTATTTTATTGAAAAGACTCCCTAGGGTCTGCACTGAAGGCACACTTGCCATGCTGTTCCATGGGCTAGAAAGGCCCCTTACCAAAACTGCAGCCGTGTCCTGATGACTTCCTATTCATCTTTCAGGACTCACCAAAGTCATGGCTCTGCAGTGCTCTCCTCAGCTTCACCTTTATGGTCTCTTTAGTTACTTCTATAGTACATCATATAATGTGGCAATAACTGTAAATTTATGTCTCCCAGAACACCTAGTCCATAGCTCTTGGTTTATTCACCATAGCCCTTAGAAACATTCATCATATTCTATCCAATACCTTTAACACCCAACATCATTTTCAGTGTAGACATGCATAGAGTTGATGAAGGGCAGTTATAGGTAGAGTTTAGACATAATTTTCAGATTATGGCTCTAATTGTATTATCTCAGAATAGAAAGAGTGGGTTGGGTTACTTTCCTTGCCATCAATCCCTGGAAGATTATCTGGGCACAGATAAACTCAAGATTCTCTGAGACAAGGATATAATATCCTGTTCTGGTGAGCACGATACTTTTAATGCTGGTCAAATCCCTGAGGCCAGAACCTTGCTATGTTCCTTAGGAGCTGAAATACTTTCAGTCGAAATAATTTGAGTGCTGATAGCTTCCATTTAGTGAACACCTACTATGTGCCAGGAAGTATGCTAATCCCTTCACCTATTGTACTACATTCTTCATAAAAATCGTATAAGGGAGGAATTATTACTCTTACTTCCAGAAAAAACAAATTTAGGCTTATATTTATTACCTAACTTAAGTTCATAAAGCTATGGGGTGGCAGAGTGGGATTTGAACCCTGCTCTTAGATTCCAAAACTCAGGCATGTGCTACTCTAGTCAGAGTGCAGCTCTGCAATGTACGGAAGACTGGGATTTGTGGCAAGCATCACATTCTTTAATGCTGTCCTGAATTTTCAAGGTGCCATAATTATATCAATAATATAAACTGCCCTTTCTAGGAATGATTTTTTGAAGAATATCCCAGCTTGTGAATTAGAGGGAATGATTACTTAAATTCCTTTGGACTTTTTAGTCATTTCATAATGTTACATATAAAATCTATGTTTCAGTGGGCCTGACATCATAGGCAACTCTATTTTAAATGTCCTCCAAAGGATGCTCAGGCATATAGTTTGAATAGTGAAGCTAACACAGTAGGCCCCTCACCGGCAAGCAAATCCTTTCTCTTGAGTTTATAACTTAAGATTCATTTTAATTACCTAAGTAGTTTTAAAGAGGCATATACAGGATGTAGCAAATGAAATCTTGGTATCTCCTAACTACTTTGTATCCTTATTGATTTCCAATTTATCCTTATGTTAATTTGCAATTGACATTGTCTGGGCTTTTTATTGAACTAACGGAAATACAGATGAACATGCTGCTTATGGTATTCATTGATTAGAGGCCATCATCACTGAAATTGACAATTAAAATTAACATTAGCATCCCTCAAATATCACAGGCAAAATAATACTGTGTATGTGTGTTTGCATATGTTTGCATTCCAAAAAATTACTGCAAACTCACTGTGCTGACATTCTCTTTGGCATAAGGCTTGGAGGGATTTAAGAGCAAGAAGATACAATCCTGGCCTCTTAAACAGGCTTCATTTATCGATAGAGTTATCAATGGAGCAAAGTGACAGACCCTGGGATAAGCACATTACATACCACCCTTAACAATGACCACATCCCTACTCTGTAGGAGTGAGTTGCTATCTCCACTTTGTAGATGAGATCAGACAAGTCAACTTACCTGACATTGTCATGTATCTTGCATAAGGCATCTCTAGAGGTGTATCTAGGTTTGAATGGCTCTCAATTTTCTATTTCCACTTCGCCACTCTCTCCTCTAAATTTCTTCTTATTTGGTGAAGAAAATAATCAGATGTGGAAAAGACAGAAAGAGATATATGCAAATTGGGGCATGAAAAGCAACTCACACTGCTTTGAGATTCTAGGAAGGTTCATGAGGAAACTGACATTGATTTGGCTCTTAAAGGCTATTTGGAGTGTGCCAGCTAGAAGGAAGGCAAGCAAGAAGAACACAGCAACAGCAAGTGGAAAGTTCTAGAGGCATGAAATGGCAGGGCAGGTGTGGCGGGAAGTGGTAGGAGACGAGAATGAGAATGAAACTGGAAGTCAGAGCCTTTTATACTATGTGAAGGGCCTTGTCCCAGGCAACTGAAAGTCATCAGATGCAGTTAGCAAGATCAAGCTATGGTCGGAGGGGTGATTTTGAAAAGGCAGCCTGCAAAGGACAAAAGTACAAGAGAGATGCTGGAACAAAAGGCACTGGGTAGGATGCCTTCATCAAAATGTTAGGAAAAAGTGATTAATGAGAGCAGATTAAAAAGACAAAGATGAATGGAATAGACTGGCTGGTGAGCAAATTTATGAATGAAGAGAGTAGAGAAGGAAAATATGAGTTGGCTGAGCGCAGTGGCTCAAGCTTGTAGTCCCAGACAAATTAAGTGACCCGTCATAGCTATGTATGTTGTATAACTTTTGGGAGGCTGAGTAGGGCAGACAGCTTCATTGCAGGAGTTTCAGACCAGCCTGGGAAATATGACGAAACCCTGTCTGTACAAAAAAATACAAAAATTAACAGGGTATGGTGGTGCACACTGTAATCCTAGCTACTCAGGAGGCTGAGGTGGGAGGATCTCCTGAGCCTAGGGAGGTCAAGGCTGAAGTGAACCAAGATTATGCCACTGTACTCCAGACTGGGTGATAGAATGAGAGTGAGACTGTCTTAAAAAAAAAAAAAACGAAAAGAAAACGAAAGAAAAAAATGTGAGTTAACATTTACAGAGTCCTTCTTGTATTCTACTAGCAGCTGTGCTCAGCCTGACCCAAGCTAACTCATTAAGACCACATAACAAGTCATGGGAGTAATATTTTTATTATTCCAATTGCACAGAGGAAAAGAGTTATGCATGGAAGGTTCAGTAACAGCTGGAAAATTGTAGACAATTTGAACCCAAGCAGTTTTACTGAATAACTTTTCTTTTTTTTTTTTTTTAACTACTGCATCATATAGATTCCTGGATGAGTCTGAGGTTTTTATCAACTAGGATAAGGACTAGAAAAAGATGAAAAGATTGAAGGGAGAGTTATTAAGATCAATTTTCACATTTTGAGTTTGAATTTCCTATAGTATGTCCAGGCAGAAGTAACTGGTTAAATAATTGGGAAGAGAGAGAAGGGAATTAAGAAGTTATTGCTATAAAGATACTGGTTGATACCACAGGACCACAGATGCTCAGTCGGTGGAAGGGTAGAAATGAAAGTAGGACAGTGGTAAGGATGAAGGCAGTACAGACCACTTTCCCTCTTGAAAATAAATAAACACATGCAAACATTCAACCTTCAATACAAACCCAATAAACTTAAGTATGTAGACTTTATTTCCAATTATGCCTTTTGTAACTTTTTGTTCCAGTGTGAGAAAGATTATTTGCCTGGCTTCTCAAAACTATTGCCTTATTGTGAAGAACCGTTCTCCCAAAACTCTAGCTCCAGAGAGCCCTGGGCTTTTCTAGAAAATAGCAATGCTGAGGTTCCCATATTTGTCAAAATCAGAACTTTAGGCATTCACCATTTAAAATTATTGTATGTTTCAACAGGAAAGACTGATACTGTCAAATGAGAAGCAAAATAGTTTGTTTCTTGCAAACTTTTCTCCTCCTCCTGGACCCCCCGCCCCCTCACCATTCCAATTACCTTCTTGCTACAAACTACCTTTGCCAGCTGGGGTAGGGGGAGACCCAGATGGCAATAGTCTGAGTGAGAAAAAAAGGTCACTACATGGCACACACTCCAGCGGTTTCACTGAGAGGGACACAGTAACAACATGTCACTGCTGGTATTCCAAAGTGCAGTTGATGGGAGGTGGGAGAGGGTTGAGCGGGAGACAGGTGCTTACGTGGGCATGGTTTAGTAAGCATTGTTTTCCAATTCCTAAATAGCAGGAAGAATTTCTCTGTGACTATCCTGCAGTTCAGAGATTCAGTCCAGAAGGACAGAGTAATTCAACGCCTGAATGGTTAAATGCCATTCTTTACCATATTTCTTCTCTAAGGAGCATTTTGTGTTGCAGATATGCATCTGAGGATCTGGCAGGGTGGACAGTGGACATCAGAAGGGGGCTTTCTCATGGAATCTCAAAGTTCTATGTCAAGTCATCTCACAAAAGCAAAACTGAGCAGTGCCGGAGAAGAATTTTAAAAGCAGCTCAAAGGTTCCTGGTGATTCGACTGTATTTTATAAAACTCTTTACATATCTCTTTTTGGTCATGACAAAGTCTATTGGCACAAACAGCACAGCCACAAAGTATTCTTTTTAATAGCATATATTTATATATATATATATATTTTTTTTTTGCTTATTTTCATTTCCTCAGCAAAAAGGGAAATAAAAATATTGATCTATAAAATAAGCCGATGATAACACAATGCCAAAAATAGCTTATGTTAAGTGCAAGGGGTGAAGCTTGACAGCAAGCTAAATTGCAACAACATATTGATTTAACATTTTAAATACAAGACTTGCAATAAAATAATTCTTGAAATATGCTTCTCATTTTTAGTTTACTTTCGAAAAACTACTCTATATACACATATCCAGTTGTAACACTTGACAGTAGCATTATGGGGCATGATATAACTTTGGTACACATTGCAGATATGGATGGCTAATGTCTGTAAATGATATTCCTTCACCAGTTAGACCTCTGTACATCCAGGTGACCAGCCACCTGGTTCTAATTCATCTCCCCCCAGAATCCCCGGAGTCCTTCCCAGAGCCATCAGAGACAGCAGGAGGAAGCAGGTTCACTGGATCCATATTGTGTTTCCTCTCTCGGTTCTCCTGGGTTCCACGGTCAGCTCTCCAAACGTGGAGAAAAACTGCTCCATTTCTTTCTGTAGCATGTCATTTCTTTTCTCGGCATCTTCTTTTGCTCGCTCGGCATTTCGCATTTTTATTTCTATCATTGTGAACTTTTTCCGCTCCTGATCCAGTTCATCATGGAGGCTCATCATTTCTGTTTCCAAAGTCAAGTTTCGCTGTTCTAAGCTACAAAGGATGGGGGGGGTTGGGAGGCAAGAGTAAGATAAAGTGATTTTATTCACTTGAAATGCAAGAGGCATACAAATATTTTCTAAACTCCTTATGACGCTTAGGAAATTGGAATAAAGCCCTTTCAACAATTTAAAAGATGTAATTTTGTGGTATTATTTTACTATTTGCTAAGATCATTTACTGTCATTTTAGTAATTAGGTTCCAAGGTCTCTCTTGGAAGCAGCTGTCATTTAATAGTAAATAAGTGAATGTCAGCATAGAGAAGCCAGTGACACATTCCGGGCAGAAGAGGCAGAAAGCTTCCCGGACATTAAATTGTAAAATTGACTATAATAAATGCAGAGGGAAAGTCCGATAAAGTTGGAGAAAAAAAAGGGGGGCAATAACATTTGCTTTCTGTTGAAGGAAAAATAGTGCCGGGAAATGTCATTGTTGGTTAAGGTAACTGCTAAGAATGCAGTTTGTGGAAGCATATAGGGTCACACCTTCTAAAAGAATACACAAAGTAGTGAGCTTACATTTTATAGCACAGGTAAAGATCACATGTGTTAAATAAGCCCTGTATCTTATATTTTGTAAAAATAAAGCCCATCTCTTGCTATCCCCAATTCTCACTGCTTCTCAAGTTAATGTAGCTTAGGACATAGGTATTTTATATCTCTCTACAAATTGATAGTGGTTTTGTATAGCTGTATTGATAACTTTTCGATAATTGTAGAATTTGCAATAACATCTTTAAAAACAGAAATTGTTTTCTCCATAACAATTAAGATCCAAATCATACACATATATTATTCAAAAGAGGAGTATTAAAATTACATCTTTATTGTAAGATGTATCTTGATCACGGCTGAATTTTTAATTTCTCCTATTCTGAGCTAAAGTCCCATGGGACTCATTCAAATTTACAATACCACTGAAATTTGAAAGGTTATTGCATTTGTAGCTCTCAGAAATCTGATTATTTTAATAACAATTTTAAAATTAAAATCTCAATTATGTTACTGTTTTAACAAATTTGAGCCCCAAATGTTGATATTTCATCCAGATAATAAGAACACTTTAAAATTAATCTTCCCTCTCTTTGTAAGAACTGGAATTAAAAAAAATACTTCATATTTTGTAATCCTACATCATTTAGAAGGCTGTTTTTAAACCTATGACCATATTTTTAAACGAAAATTTGATACTATGCTGGTTGCCATCCAGAATCTACAATATATTCTCTTTGCTTTCCAAAGCCACTTTAGTGCCAAAATGTTGGAGGAAACTGAAATTAAAACACTGAGAAGGACAACCCTTACAAAACAATGTATTGACACATTTGTATTTATCAGGTGCTCGCAGGAACCTTCCAGGAATGAAAAGGGCTGAATTGACTACAGAAGAAATCCCTTTCAATGCAAACATATGAAAATGCTGGAAATTTTTTAAGAAATCTATTTTAAAAATGCACAATCAAGGTTAAAATAAAAGAGCAACTTCAGGTATCAGAATCAAGAAAGAAACTGAAATATAGAACAGTAAGTAGAAGCACACAAGGGATATTAGTCATGGATAGAAGCCACAGGGTTGGGGTTACGTTTTTCCTTTTCACACGGCGACAGAAGATGAGGCCTTCAGCATTAGGGAGGCAGAAAACTACAAGTAATTTAACTGAGAGCTTGGAACACCAGCTGTTTTTATTTAGAAGAGACTACAAAATCTTTACTCATGGGCCTGGGGAAGTATCAGAATTGAATTAGCACAACAGAATATTAGTAAGCTACAAAACGAGTCTGAGAAAAATTACCTAGAATGCCTCAAAAATGACAATTATTGGCTGGGCAAGATGGCTTACGCCTGTAATCCCAGCACTTTGGGAGGCTCAAGTGGGTGGATTATGAGGTCATGAGACTGAGACCATCCTGGCCAACATGGTGAAACCCTGTCTCTACTAAAAAATACAAAAATTAGCTGGGTGTGGTGGCACACACCTGCAGTCCCAGCTACTCGGGACGCTGAAACAGGAGAATAGTTTAAACCTGGGAGGCAGACATTGCAGTGAGCGGAAATTGTGCCACTGCACTTCAGCCTGGTGACAGAGTGAGACTTCGTCTCAAAAAAAAAAAAGAAAAAAAATATTTGCAGAAATTTAATATAGGAAAAAGGAGTTAACAAAGATGGAGGACAAACATATCCTAATAAGGGTTCTGGAAAGAGAAAATTGAGAAGGTGGGAAGATAAAATAGACAAAAAGATGATGAATAAAACTATTCCAGAATTGTAAAAGATGTAAGCTGTTAGATCAAATCGTGAAACAAAGTTTGAAAGTTAAAGAAAGGAAAAGATATATTGGGAAGTTACTAATCAAAGGAACATGGCATGACAGTATTAATACCAGAAAAATAGACTTTCAGGTCAAAAGCATCATTACAATGAAAAATAACCACTGATTAATGATAAAAGGATCAATTCTTCAGGGAAATATAAACAACTCTAAACTTCTATTTACTTAGTAGCAGAACCTCAAATTGTTCAATATAAAATATGACAAAATTGTAAAAAGAAATGGGTAAACTCAGAATACTGTTAGGAAATCTTAAAATATCTTTCTCAAAAGTTATAGGTCTAGCTGAAAAAAATGAGGAGAAACGTAGAAGCTTTTACTAGCCTGATTAGCAGACTTGATCTATGGGTCCTATATAGAATCCCAATTCAGTAATAAGGGAATAGTTTTAACCGACCAAACAATTAATATCATCCAAATGAACTTCTCTGACCACAATACAATATTTTCTAAGAAAATAAAGTTAGAAATCACTGAGTGCAATGGATCATGCCTGTAATCCCAGCACTTTGGGAGGCCAAGGTGGACAAATCATTTGACGTCAAGAGTTTGAGATCAGCCTGGCCAACATGGTGAAACCTCCATCTCCACAAGGAAAAAAAAAAATAGCCAGGTGTGGTGGCTACTCTGGAGGCTGAGGCAGGAGAATTGCTTCAACCTGGGAGGTAGAGGATGCAGGGAGCAGAGATCATGCCACTGCACTCCAGCCTGGGTGACAGAGTGAGACTCCTCAAAAAAAAAAAAAGAAAGAAAAGAAAAGAAAAAGAAACCAATTTGGAGAGGGAAAAAAGAACATCAAACCCACATATTTCAGAACTGGAAACCATATATTTCGTTGATTGATAAAGTAAAATATTATCTGTCTACCTACCTTCATATTTATTTACCTACCTACCTATCGATCCATCCATCCACCTTCAATCCTTGTTGGGTAAAATTATAAAGGAATTTAAAGAAAAAAGAATAACTCTAAACAGCAATGATCAAAATTTAGCCAGAACAGTTATCTTTCTATAATCTCATGGCTAGGCCACACATGGCCCTCCACCCTATCCTACTGCAGACCTCTCCCTTGGCCTCTCATGAGGGTAAGAATGTGACAGTGAAATGGCCCATTGAGATGACACTATTGGGAAGCTCTATCAGTTTATCAAAATCTCTAAAATACACCATACAGCCACAGATCTCAGAACATATATGCATCAGCAACATCCTCAGAAATGAATGTATCCATCTGCAAATTTGTAATGAACCCTTTTTTTCTTTTTCTACTACATTTAAAGTGTGACCCCTTGCCTCAAAATATAAGCTTCCCAGTGTGAAGCGCTAATTTATCATCATGCATTGGCAGTAATTCAGAATTCTAACACATAGTGGTTCCAAAAACTACATTCAGAAAGAAGAGTAACCTTTTAAGACGATGTCCCTATTTTTTTTATTTAAATCTCCTGCCACTCTGCATTATATAGAAAAATTCAAACCACATTTCCACTCAGTGAAATTTACAAAAAAAAATACTTTCCAAGAAAGTAATTTTTCAATCTCATTTATAAGTAGTATTTTTATATATTTACTTTGCCGTAGCTTCTGAAATGTTATCTTTTGGTCTGATAATTGATAAATGGATAAAAAACATACTAAGGTAAATCAAAGCCAACTTACAACCGACTTGCGGATCCCAGCACATCATGGAGGAAGGGTCGCTCAGACCACACAGCCTGAAACTGGGACTAAGACCGCTAGAGGAGCTATTCCTACTTTGATCATTTTATGAGAAGATGTAAATTGATATAATTCGGTTTTAGCATAATTGCTTCTTGGTAAATCATGTTATTTGTTCCTCATTTAGGCTACAGTCTCCCTTGTTCATGTGAACACACTTTGCATCTCCCCTCTTCTCAAAAACTTCCATGAATTCCTATCTCGGAGTAAAAGTCAAAGGCTGAAAATGAGCCTGTCAATCCCCAATGCCACCTGGCTCTTATTGCTTCTCTTAGCTTATCTGGATCTTCAGGGTCTGGAACAGAGCCTGGCAGAAAGAAGGCACTCTCTCAATATTCGATGATTGAAAGAATAAAACATGGAGATATATTTACTTCTCCTTTTATTTTTACCCCAGTTTCATCCTTTTCTTGTCAGTGAAAACTGACAGGCTCCTAAATGCTCTGTCCATCTCCTCCACAGCCCCTCTCCTTCCAGTTAATCTGCCTATTTAATAATAATCAAAAATGACATTATTGAGCCTATTCTACTATACCAGGGAAATATTCAATCACTTCTTATGTGCTTTTGAGGTAGATACTACTAGCATTTAAATTGTTTACATTAGGGAACCAAAGCTCACAGAGATGAAGCTAACTTCCCCAAAGTCACAAAGCTCATAAATGGTGGTGCAAACTTCGGTCTCTTTGACTTTGGAGCCAGCATTATGTCACCCTCAGTATGATCCTGTCCCACAGTAGGAGGCTAAAGAGCCCTCTCTGGTAGTTACAACCGCCAGATTTTCCTCACCTCTTTATCCTGGACTCATACTCTATCTTCTGTTTGGTCATTTCCTGTTTCAGGCTGGAAACTAAACTGTGCAGTGCACTGTGGTTGCTGCTGCTGTTACCAACAAATGTCTCACTGTTGTCACTGCTGCTGGTGGCACGACTACTTCGACCTCCTACACTCCTATGGTCACTTTTGCTTTCATAGTCCCTGGGGTGGGAGAGGTCATCCTGTGGAGGCCCATCCAAAACAGGGTCCTCAAAGTTCCCTCCATAAAAGTCTTGCTCTGGGCAGGTGGTGGTGGAAGAGCGACAAGAGTTGGAGTTCTCGGGGAGGGAGATTTCACAGGAGGAAGTGGACCAGGTGGCGCTGTCGATGCTCTGCTTGTCATCAAGGTTCATCATGGAGAACTGTTGATGGACGTTATCATAGGTGGACAGTCTGTTGTGCTGGCCTGACTCTCCAGCTTGTTCTTTCTGCTTATTATCCCTCAGGGTCACATAGCCATTTGGCAGCCAGCTCATGTTTCGACCATTTGCGGGATTCCCGAGTGTGTCGCTGGTCAAAATGCCCATGCGCGCTGTTCCATTCTGTACACTGTGTGTGCCCATTTTGGTACCAGATCCCTTCAGTGAAGAGTTCCTTCTGGCTTGTAGGCTCCCATTGGGGGTGATTTGGGTTTTCTCAAGACCTTCTGCATTGCTGCTGCTGAAGGACCCATTGGTAACTATCCCACTACCCTTATTAAAAGCTGGGTTCTTTTTGACCATGAGAGGGGGGCTTCTGGACACATCTAGCTTGTGAACACTGTTCCTTGGGCTGTTGGTTTTGCTGCCTGATAGAGCGGTGGGGGATCCATTGTCCATGCTGCTTCTCTGGGGTGACTCTGACTTGTCCCAGGAGCACCGCCTACCAGGGCTGTCCTTGGTGTTATTGTTCTCCTTGTTCTGTAACTGCCTCATGGTGGCTTTCTTCTGAATTTCATTGTTGTTGTTGCTCACTCCATCTTGGGGCTTGCTCTGTAGTTCTGTGTCTTTGGGAAAGAGGCAGTCATGTTTGCTAATCATCACTGACATCAACTGCTGGACCACCACAGTGCCTAGAATTGCATAGAACATAAAGTAGCATGACTGAGACAGTTTTTATTTATTTCTATTTGAATGGGACTCTTAAAGAGACACATTCAAGTGAACATTCATTATTATTCACAGTACCAAACCGCATTCTTAACTGTGATAATAGCAATAGAAGCTAAAACATCTTGAGCATTTACTCTGTGCTATGAACTGTGTGAAGAATCTTCCTTCTGTAATTTAATTGAGTTTTGTAACAAATCTATACATATTATACTCTTATTATCACTGTATTATAAAGGTTAAGTAACTTGATTAAGGTTACATGTAAAGGACCAGACCCAGGGCTTGAACCCAGAATTAATCATTTAAAAGCTGGGCTCTTAATCATAATACAATATTTATTACAAGTTTGACATTTAATTTTGAGAAATCTTTCCCAGGAGGAGGTCACCATGACCCCTCATCTAATAATTGCCTCAAACTATCAAGATAGCTTTAGCGGTAGCTATAAATAGAACCCTAATCTCTAGTGGATACATTGTTTTTCTAATGTAGCAAGACAATGAAAATTCATAAGACTTTTGATCACCATTCGAACGCTTCAGGGCATTTTAAATGACATCAGCCAGAATGGTGTAGTGAAGACTTCCAAAAATTCTATTCACCATATAAGCAACAAGCAGAAATTTCCAGAATCAACTATTTTGGAATTCTGTAAATGAACTAATGGCTTGATGCAATCTGGAAATTGTTTACGTAAGAAAAATGGCTGAATCTCAGTAAGAGCAGCAAGGTCTGTGGTATTTTCACTTGCTCTAATCTTATCCTCCTGTCTTGAAAACCAAGAGCCCACAGTCACAAAGAAAACCAGCCATCTGGCAGCCACTGGAATGGGCAAAGCAGGGTTGGATGTTTAGTTAGTAAATATAGTTTCTATATAAAATACTTAAAACATGATATTTGGCAAAAAAAAAAAAAAAAAAGATGAAAAAGGCTTTTGACAATGCAGAATTTCATTAAAACAGCAGCTAATTGAGAGGCTGTCAGAGAGCAGAAACCTGACCTGCAGCAAGGTCACTTTTGAGCTTCAAATGACACCTGGTAAATATAATTCAAAATCAGATTTTGAATAGAAAAAAAAACATATTATATTCATTTATATTCTACATGCTTTTCATGTGATGATTCAAAACTTAGACTATTTTAGACTGCGTATCTGCAATGAGCAAGATCTATTGCTGCATCAATGTTGTTCAAATTTTAAAGTTCATAAAAATTACCTGGAGATCCTGTTAAAAGGAAGATTGAAATTCAGTAGGCATTGGGTGGAACATGAGATTTTGCATTATTAACCAGCTTCCAGATAACATCAGCAATAATAGAATAGTAGCACTGGCATCACCTGGAAGCCTGCAAATTTCATTACCCAATGCAGAGCGTCTGAATCAGAACCCCCAGGTGATTCCTGGGGCCATTACAGTTTGCATCTACTGTAGTAGATGCAAATGTTTCCCTTGTATCTTCCAAATTAAATTTCTTGAAAGTCCAAAAGAGGATTTATTTTTTCAGATGAGAAAATTGAGGATCAGAGAGGTTAAGCTATTTGTTCAGGGCACAGAGACAATGTGATCAAAGTGAAATGTAATATTTAGTTTTATTCCAAATTATGCATTTGTCCTACTATAGTTCAGCTACTGCAATTTAAAACTGTAGCAGTAATAAGTAAACTTGGGATCGTTTTAGAGATAAAACTAGCCAGCCGCGGTGGCTTACGCCTATAATCCTAGCACTTTGGGAGGCCGAGGCAGGTGGATCACAAGGTCAGGAGTTCAAGACCAGACTGGCCAACATGGTGAAACCCCATCTCTACTAAAAAATACAAAAAACTAGCTGGATGTGGTGGCTTGTGCCTGTAATCCCAGCTACTTGGGAGGCTGAGGTAAGAGAATTGCTTGAGCTAGGACCCAGGAGGTGGAGGTTGCAGTGAGCCGAGATCATGCCACTGTACTCCAGCCTGGGCTACAGAGTGAGACTCCATCTCAAAAAATAATAATAATAGGGGAAGATGGCCGACTAGGAACAGCTCAGGATTACAGCTCCCAGCGAAAGTGCAGAGGGTGAGTGGA